TATCATTGCCAATCCATTGAGACGATTTTGCGTCTGCATCGTTCTGAGATAATTTTTTATTATTTTTAGTTTTGAAAAGCTTCTTTCCCCTGAAGCCACAGTGACTGGCAATGTAAGTAGGATTCTTAATGCTATGCTGAGGTTTGGTGCGAATTTAAGTGTAGCGATAAACTTGAGAACTTCAACAGGGGTTTCCTTTTTTGTTAATAATGACGAAACAATGCTTATTTCATCGGCTAGTTCCAGGGCGTTAATATCGCTTGAATTTCCATCAATTAAAACTACTTCCAAATCTTTGCAATGAGCCAGTAGCTCATTTCTGGGCATGTCTTTTAGACCAAAAATATTATACAAAAAGCTGAAATAATTACTGTGAGTATTTAGCAAATTATATCTGGTTTCCAAGGCATTTATTGCTTGATCTATAGTGTGAAAAAAAAAATCTATTTTATATTTTTGTTTGAGGTCTTGAACGGGTTCATCCGGGCCCTCATACAAAAACGTTCTTGTTTTGCTTAGGACACGATGACGTGGTGTGGTGGTTTAGAAATTAGCTTTCACGTCAATCTCTAAAGCAAGCTCGGTTGCTTCTAAAATGATGCTTTAAAAGCTTCATCTGAGCTCAGGTTTTCAAAGAAGAGTTTGCAGTTGCTAAGCATATCAATAGCTTGTGACATATTAAAATTTACAGTTTGCAAAAGTTTGCTGATGGGATTAATATGACTCAAAATTTTGTACCAGATCATAACAGAGCATATAAATTTGAACTGCTTCAAATTATTTAATAATCCGTTAGCCTCGTCTCTGATCATATCGATTTCTGAATCTTCATATATGCTGTACAAAGCATCGTGAATTGGACCAATTTGAAACCGCAGAGCTTTTAATGAGTTGACTCAACTTTCCCATCGCGTATCACTCAATGGTTTTAGGGTGTAAGTTTCGATATATTTCAGTAATATTGCCCAACGAAAAGAAGAGGAGGAAATAAAATGTATATAACTTTTGAATATTGAAGAAGTTGGCTGCCTCAAACGAGAATTTTGCCATATCGTTTACAACCAAATTTAGCGAATAGCTGCTGCATGGAACATAAAATGATCTGGGGTTTATATTTCTGATTCTTGTTTGACTCTCGATTTTTCTCCTCTCATATTGGAACCATTGTCATACCCTTGACCGCGCATATTTTCTACTTTAAGCCTATTTTTCTCTAGCTCTTCTAGTAAAACCTCCTACAATTCCTTAGCTGTTGATCTCTCAATGGATAGAAAACCCAAAAAATGTTCGTTGATATTAACTTGAACTTCAGACTCTGATTCCTGTATGGAGACAAATCTTACCACAAATGTCATCTGTTCTACTTTACTTGCATCGGGAGTACAGTCAAGAATCACGGAATAATACTTGGCCTTTTGAACTTGCTCAATGATGTGGTGCTTTATGTTGTCATGCAATAATTCAATTATTTAATTTTGTATAGTTTTCCCTAGATATGTAGCTTTGATTTCTTCTTTATTGAGGACTCTGCGAACGTGTTCCTCCATTTTTGGGTCAAACTCAACCAATAACTGAATTAACTTCAAAAAGTTTCCATTATTATGTTCATACAGTTTATCGCTTGTTCCTCGAAAAACTAGAGAGCTCTCACCTAGCATTTTAACGACTGATATAATGTGTAAAAGAACTTCAGACCAGTGATTTATCTCAGAATCAATGAGTCTCTGAGAAACTGCATCTATTGTTTCACCTATTTTCAATCTTTGCTTCAGTTCAAGCCATGATTTCAAACAATCTATATAAGTTTTAGCATTTTCATGATGTGCTAAAGAGTCCCCTAAATGCTTCCTGTCTTTAAATCCCCGATTGCCAAGAGCGCTCAAGCTAGATGGTGCAGCAAAAAGTCGACATGGAAAACAGTACAAAGCGTTTTGAAATACGGAATATACCATCCAATCTCTTAAAACCTCTTCTCCATTTCTAAGCCTTTTCTTGTAATGTTTTGGTGAAAATCTTCTATGCTGATCATCAAAAGGAAAATCAAAATTATACATAGGTCCAGCTGAACCACGTTTAACCAAAAAAACTCTATCTGCTGCACTCATGATTTCGGGCCATAATCCTGGGTCGGAAGAGATACTTTGGACGGTAGTCTTTTCTAAATGTTTCTCTGAGGTCTGAACAACTTGCAAATTTTGATTTTTGGAACTGCACGGAACTGCATCACTACTCCTGCTCAGTAATGCAGACGGTGGCGTCCAAAGGGGGGTCCATATCCGGAAAGTCAGTATCTAGGTGCTGGGCGTTGTTCAAATGTTGGTCAGTTGTAGGAGCGTTGAAACTACCTTCTTTCAAAAAGTTCTGCAGCGCATCTGACTGTTTTTGAAGCTGTGTTTGCTTGTTCAATCTCCGCTTTTTAAATTCGCTCCCAGAGAGTTTTCTCTTAGCATCGGACATTTTGGTTTCTGGAACAAATTAATTAAAATAAAAGATAATACTGATATCCCAGGTTCGAATCCCACCGTTGGCCGGAATTTTTTTCATTTAATTTAATTATTTAAAATTAATTCTGATGCCTTGGTAGAATTCCCCACTCGACCATTCACTGTTGGGTTCTAATTAACAGTGCTGTTCCTAAAGTGGCGCTGGGAAACAGTAACAAAGTATACACAGAACACGAGGCGAAATAACCTTAGCAGTTGAAGCCGATGACACACCACAAAAAAAATACTGATATCAAAAAAGCCATGATTTGAATTAAATTATAATTTCTGACATCCCCCCTTGTGCGCCACTGGCTTAAAAAAATGTATTTTATTCAACTTCAGATTCAATTACCTTTCATTCGATACCACGCAATCCTTGATTTGATTTAAACTCTAATTTTCGAAATACCCCCTTATGCGTCACTGACTTTAAAAAAAAATGTATTTCATTCAACTCCAGACTCAATTACCTTTCATTTGATACCACACAAGCCATTTTTTGATATAAACTCTAATTTTTGAAATCTCCCTCGTGCGCCACTGGCTTAAAAAATAAAAGGCATTTCTTTATAAGCTTACTACAACATACTTGGTTACAGTATTGTGGTTACTGTGGTGACATTACGCATACCATGGTTTCCCTATTATTGAATGTCAAATTTAATTTAAGTTTGGGGATATCTAAACGGAATTTGAATTTTAGAAATTTTAGGATGTTTTGATTTTGTTATTTTTTATTATAGTATGTTCTAGTAAGCTTATAAATAAATGCCTCGTTAGATGTAGCTACATATGCTTTGGTAAAATGTAACCAAAGCAGAGTAACCAAACGTTATAAAGAAATGCTCTGGTTACAGAAGTATGTTCTGGTAAGCTTATAAAGAAATGCCTAAAATAAATTTTATTCAACTGCAGGTTTAATCAACTTTTATTTGATACCACACAAGTCATTTTTGATGTAAACTCTAATTTTTGAAATTCCCCCTTGTGCACCACTGGCTTAAAAAAATAAAATAAATTTTATTCAACTGCAGGTTCAATCAACTTTCATTTGACACCACACAAGCCATTTTTTGATGTAGGTAAACTCTAATTTTTGAAATCCCCCTTGTGCGCCACTGGCTTAAAAAAATAAAATGCATTTTATTCAACTCCAGACTCAATTACCTTTCATTTGATACCACACAAGCCATGTTTTGATCTAAACTCTAATTTTTGAAATCTACCCCCCCACCCTTTTTTGGGCTTATGCCTGATGGATTTTTTTAGTTTTTAAAAATGAAAACAAAAATTAAAACACAGAAGCCAAACGCACTGGACAATTTGCACAAGCACTTTTTTAAAGCTTTTTTGCACTAACAATTTAAACAAACTTTTATTTCGCACCAGCCGAAGTCTAGTGGCAAATAATGCATTGTTTTAAGTCTACTTCCTTTTTATATGCAGTTAAAAAGGGTTGTTAGATCTTGTTTCGCTTGGTTTTAAAATTGTTGTTTCCTGTACAGTCGTGTTGCCACGGGCCGAAAAACTTGTCAATTCTTGAAAGGCGAAGTTGAGCGGTTTTGTCATGTTGAATTGAATTCAACTAGATTTTGCCTTAATGTTTAAATATATTATATTATATTATTTGAATTTTGTGCTTAGAAATAAAAATGATAAATTCCGCCTGCCGCCGCTTAATCTTGTCAACTATCAGTCAAATCTTGCAACGCGTTTTTGAGAAAATTCCCGTGAACCGATTTCAATGAAATTTGGTATACTTACAAGGGTCCGATGAAAATGCAATATTATGAAAAATAATTTATTGATATGATATCAAAATGATAAAAAAATATTCTTTACTTTTTAGTGCATTTTATAAAAGCCTGTAACTTAATTTTTTTATCAGTTTATTTTCATTTTCCATGATTTTGGCGCCCCTAAATCATTGCGCCCCGGGCGGCCGCCCGAATCGCCCTACCCTGGAGCCGGCCCTGCGTATCGTTGTTGTCTCAAATGATACGCCATTTTCCATAGCCTCCCTCCTACAAATAAGAGATTTTGAAATTAGAACTAAATTATGTATAATGTGTTGCCTACCTTTTGGAACATCTCAGTATTATCATATCGTGGGCGTACAAGGAAAATCCACTAAGTCCGTTTTTTGTAAATTCGTGATAACTGAAGCGTCCTGTACTGTTTATCTTTTATTTAACTATGGTCAATTAAATATTAAAATCTACTTTTCTGAAAACTATATAATATTTGAACTTAGTAGATTTTCCTTGTACGGCCACGATATTTTTTTATGAACATATTTTTCAGTTGTTTATGAAAATGTACAGGGTACATTACTTTACAATCCATTACATCGTTTTCATTATTGAAAGGGATGTTTGGAGCAAAAATTTGGAATGTCCCAATTAGACACACTTTCTCCTACATATATTTATTTAATTAATGTTTTCTGCAGAAAATGTTTATATTGTTTACATCGTAAATTAAGTTCGAAAATTCATGTACATATATTTTTAGGTAGAGAATATTTTAGTAAATGAAAATGGCAATTATGTATTGTGTGATTTTGGTTCAGCTACTGCTAGAGTATTAAATCCATTAGAAAAGGGCGTTGCAACAGTAGAAGAGGAAATAAAACGTTATACAACTTTGAGTTATAGAGCCCCAGAAATGGTGGACATGTATTGCGGCAAGCTAATTTCAACAAAAGCCGATATCTGGGTAAGTAAATAATTTTATATATGCCAGGAAATCATTATTCATATGTTTAGTATGTTTTTAATTCAATAATGAGCATCATTCTTTATATTTACTGCACACCTCATGAATAAGTTTAATTTTGTTGTTGTTTGGGGTACATATATTTTGAAATGAGTTAATTTTTATTTTGCAATGTTTACAAAAATATTTTGGAGGGAGATTAAAATAATTGGTCAATTAAATTCTAAAAACCTAAATAGTTTTTGTTCACCTTTTAACTTTAAAGCAATCTTATATTTTATGACTACACTTTTATCAAACAGAGAATATTATGAAACGGTTTTTGAATAAGACTAAGTCCTAATTTAAAAAACTTGCGACAGCATATTTATCAGTTTATTAAACAAAATATATAATTGTTACATCTAAGTAACTAATAACCATATTTTCTGGTGCCATATTTCTACTTATTTTTTTATTTTGTTTTTCACAAAAAGCTTTTCAACATTGTTTGGCACCCTGTTTTTCATGAAGGAAGGCTGATGCATGTTTTTTCAGCTTTTTTTTTTGTTCTAGGCATTGGGTTGTTTACTGTATAAATTATGTTTCTTTACATTGCCATTTGGAGATAGTACCCTAGCTATACAGAGTGGAAACTTTAACATTCCAGATAATTCTCGTTATTCCAAAGGACTGCATCAATTAATAAGTATATCATTTAATAAATTAAAAATATATTTTTTTTCAATGAATATTTTTTAGGGTATATGTTAGAACCAGATCCAGACCAGAGGCCTGATATTTACCAAGTTAGTTGTATTGCTTTTCAATTACTAGGTAAAGAAAATCCTGTGAAAAATTTAATGGTAAGTTTATAATATTTAATTTTTAAACTTACATTGATAATATATGATTTAAGAAAATAAACAGAATCATTGTTGCCAATTGTGAAAAATGTCCATAGTTTATTGCAATATAATAATTATTTTTTTGTTTATTTTGTAATTAATTAATGATATTTTTTAATCAGAAAACGCCTACGCCTAATTTAGACGAAATTCCTGTTCCACCATACGAATCAGAATTGAAGAAAACCCAAATTAAAGTGCAAACCAGCAAGGTACTTGCACCTGTGATAGAAGGTACTAGTGTCATGCCTAGGCAACGACCAAAGGGTAGTTCCTCTGCCCCACTAAACCTGAATAATATACCCCTAACCCTTTGCCCTAGTCCAACATTAGCAAAGAAATCTCAAAGTCCTGTAACGTCAACCATACAGCCAAATTACCAAGGTACCGTTCCCTATACTCCTTCGTTTCCGTCTAATGTAAATTCCACTAATTCTAATTTTTCTCCTAACTTTTTTCCTACTCCTGAAGTACACCCACCTCACTTGGATTCTCTATTCCAGTCTTCCGTTTATCCTGATCCTTTTCGAGATGATTCCGCAGCTTCCCCTACCGCTATCGATGCTAATAATGGAAACAAAATGGATAATTTTCCAAGTCAAGCTCCAACTAGTTTGCCAGTAAACGTGAAGTCGCCGGTATCGCCTGATAACCCCCTCTTTGAAACGAGAAACGCTTGCCAGGGGATGTCGCTACATATGGGGTCAGGATTAACTGAATCTACCAATGTTATAGGAAACAATACACCCCCTACTTCACCTACACTTTCAGTTCCAAGAGGACATAGGCGTAATATGAGTGATACTACGGCTTTTAATAAGTGAGTCTTCTTTAATAACCATAAATTTATATTATTTACAAAAAAAAAGATAGAACTGTTTCAATTATTTCAAATGCCAACAAAGCGTCAATTCCTGGAAAGACATGGATGAAAAGTATCCTTCAGACTTCTGGTCGACTAAAGATAAATATATGAATGGTATTTGTTTTTTATTAAAATTTAAGTCACAATTTTTTCAACCAATATTTTTGTTTTATTTCTTCAAAACATTTGCCTGAATTACAAATAAATTCATTTCGAAAATCTGTTTCATGATGTGATGACGACTTAGATGCGAGATAAGTTTACTTTTTTTTATTATTTACAGAGCACGGTATTTTAAAAGCCGAGATTTTAGTTTTATAATTCGGAACAAGTTTCTTTTCATTTTTTAATCAACATCAACTTAAAGTTCACCTTAAGACAAGATGCATTTTAGCTAAACTGTAATCGTAAGTGGGAGCAGTTCAAATGGTCCTAAGCCATGCTCGACATGTTTTTGAGATTGTTTTTATAAAAAAATTCTCCCTCGAAAAAACAAAAATGGTCCCTGCTCACAAAATCACTCCTTCCAAATTTGTATTTTCTTAGAATCAAAGATTTGAGCTGTGTATTGAAGAGTTAATCAGGACACTTATTTTTATATCTTTATTTACTATCACACTATTGTTTAAAGAAGATTATCTTCAGAGAGAATAAAAGGACCCGTGTGTAAGAATATTTTTTACATTGGATTAGATTTAAATTTAGTGTAAGATAAAGGTTGAATATTTTTATGTAATTTATTAAAAAAATGTATGCATATATTGCCGTGACTTTTCAAACAATACTAGTCTATGTTGAACTGAAATAAACTATTTGCATTTCTGGTGGGATATGTGTGAAAATCTGATTTTTTTTTCGAATTGGTGTAACTTAGATATTACATATAAACATGTTTTATAAATATAAATGCATGGTAACGGAAGAATTTTGTATTATGAAAATTTTCATGCAGCTTACCCCTGCCTGAATTCCAAACAATATGCGTATGACGCGCTTTTGTTTAACAAAACGTTTGTTGGATAGTCTCCCCATAAACTAACATTACTTGATAGGTGAGGGTACACTAAGGAAATGGAAACATTCAATAATTATTTTTGGTCTGTAGGCTTCTTTAATTGCAATATGGCATAAAAAGCAGAGTTAAGCTTTTTAGAAACTTGATCAACATGGGTATCCTGTGTTAAAAATTGGTCAACATAAACTCCCCTCGTTACTTCTTCATATGTAATAATTGAGACTAGCATTAAATATTAATATTAAGGGAATTATTTTGACAACATATGTTTCAAACAGATTTGATATACAATTAAGTATGTGTTGAAGTTCTTCAGCAGTCCTCGTTGAGACCACAACTGATGAATCATCGGCAAACATTAAAACTGATCCGCTATCTAAATACTAAGGTAAAAATAATACATATTAGTGATCCCAACACCGAACCCAATAGCGTTGATATATATCTCCTTATTTAATTGTACATAAACTTTCCTATCTGATAAATGATTTTAGCAGATGTAACATCTTACCTCTAATACCATAAGAGTATAACTTATTTAACAAATTGAATTTGAAGGCTATCAAACGCCCGAGAGAGATCAAAGAAGAGGCCGGCAATATACATCCTGTTTTCTAGTTTATCGTACACTTAAGTAAAAACATTAAAGTACAACTTCCTCTGTTCATCTTCTCGCACGAAAACCATACTAATTCGGAGACAATACAATATATTAAGAAATGTTATAAGTCGTTCAATAATCTTAGTTAACACTTTTAGAACTGTAATAGATATACTTTCACATTTATTAAGCGCTTAAAGTTAACTGTGACTGGGCCAAAATCTGAGGAACCTATTCTGGACACTTTCTAAAGACGCGGTATGTACTTAATAATGCTGGGACCAAACTAAGTCTAAATCCTACTTCCTACTTAATAATATATAAATGCGAAAGTTTGGATGGATCGATGGATGTTTGTTACTCAATCACGCAAGAACGGCTGAACGGATCTGAATGAAATTTGACACATTATAGTCTGGAATAGCACATAGGTTATTTTTTATCTCTAAAAAATATACGGTTCCCGTGGGATAGATTTGTTTTTGACAGACATGATTTTTTGCGTAGTGGTAGTGAAACATGAAAATTTCAAATACAGCTACTGAACATAAATAAATAATGACATATTTCAGGGTTTTTGGATTTTCATATTTTAAGGGGGAAAGGAGAGAAGGGAAAGAAATGGGAAAAATGGGAGAAGGCGGTACAAGGGGAAAGTTGGTATGGGGGTATCCCTTTTTTTAAAAATAGAAAATTGAAAATTATAATTGTAACTACTTATTATAAATAGACATTAATTATTGTAGCTGCTCATTATTAGTAAATAATGACGTCTTTCAGGGTTTTGGATTTTCACATTTTAAAGAGGGGGAAATGGGGGAGTATCGTCAAACTAAATAAATAAATAAAAATAAAATTAAAATAAATAGACAATAAAAAAATAAAAATAAATGAACATAAATAATAATTAATAAAAATTAATAAAAAAATTTGCCAGGTATCGCATGAAAAAATCATGCCATTTTCTGTTGGCTGTATTGAAAGCATCAGAAGGCGTATCAGTCGGGAAATATTTAATATGAATAAATTTTCTTTGTAAATATTTAATACCTGATCGATTTTTAATTCTTACTTATTATTTTGGCATATATTCATTGTTTTCTAAAAGTACTGAGTTTCCAAATAAGAAATGACGCCGGTTGTCGTTGGCTGTAAGAAACTATGCATTGTAGAATTTTGAATTTTGATGCCGTCTTAAGTAGACACACTGTATTTAAATTGTACTTTTTTCAAATTTCGATCAAGATAATGTCAACAGTGCGTGAGAAATGTCTTAAAATGTGACATTGTTGGCAGCAAGTAATTATATAAACAGTTTTAACTGTATTATTTCTATATCTAAGATTTGAATTTTGAAGATAAAAATGATGTTATTTTTACTTCCGTAACAGAACTTATGCCTCTGAAACATCTCAGTTTCTTGCTCCATTTGAATCTTCAATTAAACCCCGCAGCATTGCTTCTCCTGCAGAATCAGAGGATCCAAACAGAACTTTGGCTCCCATGGGTACATCAACTTCTACAACTGATGTAAGTCGCACCAAAGGCGCAGACAATAGATCTCTTTCGGCTGATGTTGCAGATTGGAACCCATTTGAGGAACCACCTTTTAGTCAATTGACGGAAGACCATATTTTTGGTGCTGAATTTGACAAAATTAGAAGAGGGAGTAGTAGCAGTAAGTATTTTTAGACATATTCTAATATAATTTTTCCATCCCAAAATTTTAGTCTTCTATTCCAGAAATCGTTCAGAAAATTTGATAACCTACTGAATAATATATAAGTATTTTTAATTTTAAATGGAAAATAGTAGGTCATAATAAATTGAATTTAAAAAGAAAATACTTCCAAACTCATATGTGCCACAGAGTAATGCGAACGACTATTTCCTCTGGAAAACAACTACTCCTTTGGCTAATACCACAACAGGTATTGGATTATTTAAAAAAAGTTAGCAGAGATAGAATGGTAGTTGCAACAAAAAACGACACTTTTCACATGAGCGCCAGTGGGAAAAGGGCTTTTCGTAAGTGTTGCATTCTATTTTTTCCACGACTACATATTGTTTGTTAAGCGAACATTTATCATTCCCATACACAGGGTGTCCCCGGATGGACTGAAAAAGAGGAAAAACTTTTTAACTTTTAGAGTAAATGTTATTCTTCATAAAAGTTTTTGTTGGTTTCAAAAATAATAATACTTCAAACAGAAGTTGAATATCTCTTTGCTTTAGTGGAATAATGACAAATTACATTTTTGTAAGCATGTTTCCTACAAAAATATAGATTTTGCTAAGATATTCTGAGGTAGGGTACCGTGCAGTCACCTCTCGCTCTATATGTTTAGAAGAGAATTTGTAATTAAAATGAATTCAAATTGACCATATTTTTAATTCTCATATAATCAATATTCTAAAAAGTGTTACTTTCCAAAGGAAAATCAATATCATAAAACGTGTTTAACAGTAAATATCTTTTTAACTCATCTTTAAGAGATTAATCTGTTTTTGTTTTGATTTATTTACTGACTGACGTAAAAAAAATGATCAAAAATAATTTTGCAATAATACTATAATTTCTTGGAATAAAATATCTTAATTATTATTACACTATTAAAAAAAGTGTGTTTATCATAAAAATTTAGAGCAAATGAGTTTACAAAAAAAAATAAAATGTAAATATAATCAAGTTAAGATAAAAAGTTAACATGCTTAGCTAGTTATCTGGCCATAAAGTTTATCAAACTTTTTATTTTACCATATACCTGAGAGAGGTAAGTTGTTTTTATTTAAATTAATAATTTTTTTCATAAAAATCACAAGCTTTGTAATTTTTTAAATAATTAAAGCATGGTGGTATTATTAACATTGTTACTTAAAAATTATTGTATACCTATTATTTATTATCTTAGTTTTATTTATTGCAGTAATTCTAAAATTATGATTTCACCTATCTAACTGCATTGCTTTGCTAATTTAAATCAAAACGTTTTTATTTAAAAACCAAGATTTTGTTAATTAATTTTTATATTTTGTAATGCATATCCCGGGATACATCATAAAAACCTGAACTGAAGATTATATGGTCAAATTTAAGTTGGGTTCTTTATGTAACACTTTTCGAGGTAAGTCTTCATTATCCATCTACAATTCTTTGAAGGGAGATTCCAAAATAACGGTTCCAGAAGTATTTTGCAATCCATTTACTTAATTTTATATAAAAAATCATTTTGTTTAATTACTTAGTCTAGGTTAGTTTGTGCCCTGTTCGGGGCGGACAGAATGACTTCACCCGGGCATTTATCATCGGGGTGGTAGAAGCCCACCAAATGGCCTCTTCCAAAAATTGGGCATCTAGAAACATCTCTCGGCGACGTTATTAACCTGCATTACTTTGACCTGAGAAGCTAGTTAACTCTATACACCCCCAGCAACAGTTGACAGTTGATAACGACAGGAGCTGGGAAGATAGCTGTCTCTAGACACGATAGCTGCTGTCTCTAGACACCTCTCAGCAACAACCAGCAGGTTTTTGACAAGCTGAGAGTGAGGTTCTGTATGGCTTGGAGGATGTACACTGATCCTAATGAGGCCTAAGTGCTGTAGAACAATCCACAATCCCCGCCTTACAGATACAGATAGTTTAGGTCCATATTTATAAACGAAAACTGAAGTTCGGATATAATTGCTCTAGAGTTCCAGGTAACGAGTCTTTAGCAACATCCGTATCCTACGTGACCAAACTGATGTTAGCTAAAAGTAACATTAATTACTTCAGTAATGGCCCCAAAACAATATCACTGACGTATTTGACAACTGACAATAAAGTTGTCATAAAAGTGACTGGGGGGCCTTTCTATTAAATGTATGGTCACCAATGAAGAAAACTAATAGAATCTATTCATTCATAATTAAGCCCTTATTTATTGTAATCATTGAGATTGTGTTTTATGTTACGCAGACAGAGCTGTCACATTAGAAAGAACGAAATAGTTGTTAATTTGAGTGGGGATGATTTGTGTGAGTTTGTTTATCTAAGGAGCGAACATGCGTTTTATGAAGGAATCAGTACTTACATTTACGACTGCTGTCACACTTTAAAATTCATTGTGAACTCTTCTGGAAATAACCTTCAACTATAGTAGTTGCAATGATAAAAATACATTGAACTGATAATAACTGGCATTAAGAATGCAAATATAGTTCCTTAATGTAATTTTGAAAGCCGTTTGTTCATTTTAGAGCCTTATGTTAAGTGAATACCGAATTATAACCATAAACAGTCCTTGTAACAAAACTCCCATCCCATAATTTGACAACTACGTGGATAACACCGTGAATGTTTGCAATTCGATTTTTGTAAACAAAATTAGTCTAGCAGTTGTTAGTCGTTGTTAAAGACTCTGTAACTGTATTATTGCAATGGAATTTAGAGATGGATATTAACAAATCTAACATAAAAATAACTAAAAGCCAGTCACATAACAATATGAGCGATCATTTTCCTCGGGAAATCAACTTCTCCTTTGGCTAATACAACAAGTATTGAATTATATCCAATGGAAAACAGCAGAGATATAAAATCATTTTTAACAATCTAGCTTTGATTTTGTTTACCAAGGAGAACGTCATTCTTAGATCAGTTTCGTGCTTATTTGGACTCGTCAAGTAAGAAACAGGCATCGATTTCAGCCTCTAATGAAATCTGCGAAGGCAACAAATTCAATCACCTACAGTAAAAGAGGTTACGATAATGTGACTAAATATAATTTGATTAGTACAAAGGATATGCTAAATTTCTGGTTTCTTATTTGTAAAAGTTTAAGTTAAAAATTGCACCCCACCCTTCATAGGCTTACCTTAAAATATTACATGAACATACCTTCGTTTTGGCGGCAGACTCTTCATATCAATTTTTAATGATCTGGTAAAACAAGAAATGGAATGTCTTTTGTGACAATTTAATTGTCAGTTCTGTCAAATATGTATGTCAGTGACATTATTTAATTTATTAATTTTACTTTTAGTCAGTTGGTGACATTAATTTAGTCACGTGGGATACGATGTTATAGGGCAGGGGTGGCCAATAAGTCGATCGCCAAGGCAATTTTGGTCGATCGTCGATCGCTCGCAATGTATGGGGTGGAATTCCGTATACAATCGACTTTAAAGCGATTGTAGAAGACAAAACTTAAAATTATCAGCCATACTGTACATTTTTACAACATTTTTTTCATATTTCAACTCATACATTGCAGTTGATAACAAATTAAATTGCGTTTTAAATTAGTAAGAATCTATTTTGAAAAAGTGTCGGAATGTTGCTATCAAAAGTTGGGTCTGGAAATTTATTTTCTCTGAGACTGTGTCCTTTTTTACAGTACATGTCCTTTAAAAGGACCTAGTTTATAAAAATATAGGCTGAGGACTTTTTTTAAAGGACCAGGGGTTTATTAAAAAAAAATATAAGCTGATGGAAACTTTTTTCATTCACTTTTCAGAAAGGTGCCCAGCCTACTTTATACTGCAACACAGTCTATAAGCATAGTAAGCATTTCACACCCCTTTTACCCCCTAGACTACGCATATGACAAGTCGATCGTGATACACTTTTAAGATAAAAAGTAGATCTTATATATAGAAAAGTTGGCCACCCCTGGTTATAGGGCACATAAAAAGTTTCATTCTGCGTTTGAAAACTCTTTAAGCACTATTTTTCTTTTCTTGATAATCGGAATTAAACGGCGATTGTTCATCTCTTTTCCTAAATATCCTCTTCTTCTTAAAAATTGCACTAGTTTCTTCTTTTTCAAAGTTATTAGTCATTACTGGTTATTATTGTTCATGATTATTAATTATTATTCATTTTCAAATGAACTTACCTGAAGTGAAGTTCGATCTCAATTATATGAAACGCCTTGTTCGAGATAATCATAGGTAGTACCCCCTTTTTCCCTGCTCTGTGGCCACGTATTTTAAAGTCTTAATACCCTCAAAAGTATTTAGAAAGTTCCAAAATAACTGGTTGTCCCAATCCTTCCCACCTCTGCTCCCGTCCCGTGGTAGTCAGATACACTCTTACGTAATTCTTTTAAAACGGTAATTGTGTTTGAATCTTCTGTCCTCCTGTATTTGTTATTATTACATATTTTTGATTAAAATTTATATTTTTGTTAAAAAAAAAATTTCTGTTCCTCTTAATTTTTATGTTACCCGCATATGTTTAAGACGGGATAAACAACTACCCTCAAGCTGATGGAACAAAACATTTGTTGTATTACAGGATGTAGATGTATCTAAGCTGTATTTTATAATTTCAGGTTTGCAAGGTATGAAGTCAAAAGAAAGCATTGCAATGTCGGTATCAGAGGATCCCTTCAGCAGTGCCCCCTTTAGTCTTCCTGTCCGCAATCGAGATAGGACGAACAAAGGACTACATTCCTCAGGTAATCAATCTTAATGCTTAAAATCTTTGAAATTATTGTCTTTCTAGATGTCTCTTCATTATTATATAACTACTATCAACAATAATTTACAAAAATTTTTTTTATGCTAGAATATGTGATATATATAATATAGTAGTACATTTTTATTATTGCTAGAAAAAAATCTATTGTTACATTGCAAAAATCCATTGGCACTGATCAATATGATTATATTGTAAAAAAATGGTGATGGAAATGTGGAAAGGATGTAATGCTGTAAATATGCTAGTTGATATTTGAAATTGCTTAGCAGCGTCAACTTTATTTATTCAAAGCTAAAATATTTTTTATAGAAGTTAAAGCAGTGAAGTTAAAGTTAATGCCTTAAATTTTATAATAACAAAACTAAATGTTTTTCTCAGGAATATTCGTTTGAGAGAATGTCAAATTTTTTTATTAAGTTATTTCCATATCTGTAATATTTTGGGGTATTGGATTTACCCCTGAACGCAACTTTATTGAAAAAGTTACTGATGATGTTTTAATAAATCCAGGCGAATAACTTGTAATTTTCTTTATCTGTTATATCTATTTAATTTATTAAATTATTTATTACTAGAAACACGATAATAAACAAATTGATTAATATTTAATCAGCAAATGATAATGGATGTTAGTGTTAAGTCATTAAATTATCTGGAATATTTGGTAAAAGTTTATTCTATTAATTAAATCTAAACTTTTAATAAAGCCATGGTCATCACTTTATCCTGCTTGAACCAGATTTTCTAGTTCTTTAAAGCATTTCTAAACTCTGTCTGCTAGAAATACGAACTTCGACAAAAGTGAATAATTCTTTAATGAGGAAATTTGTATTTCATTTGCATATAGGTAGTGATTATAAATATGATATATATTGCTAGATTTAATTCGATTAAAATAAAATATATACATATAAAACTAACCTTATAAAAACCCCAATGGGTGGGACCTATCAGTTCGAGATAAGACTGTTAATAGGCTAACGGCGTACTGCCGTTTCTACCCAAAATCTTATGTAAATTAACATGGGAAATCAGTAAGGTTCATTCTGTCAATTTTTGTCCATATAAAGATCACGCGTCGAGAATCGAAATCGGGCTTATCAATAAACATGATAATATCAGCTCGGAGCCGAAGGAGTGACGTGAGAACAAGGGCGACGTTGAAGAAGCTCCTAGAGAGACGAAGATGAAGAGAAGCTGAAGGAGTGACGTCTACGATGAATGATGCGCTCTAGAAGCCTCAAAAGGCTCTATCTGTCTATGATTCTTTTGAAATTTATGTTTTTTATCCTCAATGACAGCTAAATGACAGTTCTGTATCTTTTGTCGAATTCGGTTGGGACCAATAATAGCGGATCTGTTCTTATGCCCTTTTGGCATTGCCTCTACACCTATATATGACAGTCAAATGACAATTTACGTTGAATGCCATTTTGATCGAGTGAACCATGATGGAGATATACGATGCCTTTTCGACATGATTTATTACAAATGACTGCTAAATTACGGTTCTGTGCCGTTTGTCCCATTTGAATCGGACCAATAATAGCAAAGATAGAATCTTTTGACAATGCTACTGTGCATCCTACATTGTCGATGTCACTCCTTCAGCTTCTCTTCTTTATGTCTCTAGGGACTTCGTCAACGTCTCTTTTCCTTCATCTACTCTTCTTCGTCTTCGGTTCTTCAGAGATTTCTTCAAGGTCATCTTTGATCCCACGTTACTCCTGGCCTTATCATGTTTACTGATAAGCTCGACTTCGATCCTTGCGTGATCTTGATATGGGCAAAAATTGGCAGAATTAACCTTAGCGATTTCGCATGTCAATTTACAAAAGGTTTGGGCTAGTAACGGCATACCCCCTTTACTTACTGAACAATTCAACAGAGTTATTAACTTCGCGAAACTTTTCCCTTTATGTCAACCCAACGAAATAAGTACAAGTGGGTTTAACTCGCAATGGTATAGAGGCAATTGAAGTACTTCTATATTGTGAGATCGTGCCATTTTATCAATACAATACTGATTTTGTGTTTGGAAATGTCATTTAGCAAGAAATAATTATTCTGGTTACGCTATTTCTTTGTCATATTTTTCCCAAGTACTTCTAGGTAGCTTCTCAAATTTGCTGCTATGGAATGGTGCATTGTCCATAATTATAATCGAGTAAGGGGCTATCATAGCCGGAGAGGCTAGCTGCGAGCTTAGTGTGCATCCACATACTCGCAACAGTTAAGCAGTGATTCTCCGGTCACGTCGTGGATGGGTGACCGCTGGGAGGTTCCACCATGGGCCGTGTCACTATGGGACTCATCCGACTAGCGGTTAACCACCGACGACGTGGAATGAATGACGATGAATCAGGGAGTGAATTGTTGAATGAGAAAGTAGTAGGATCTTCAAATGGTGGTACAATAAGCCGCAGGCTGCAGTGCCGCCAGGCTATAGACGGATTAGGGTGTAGCACGGAAGATCCGAAGGGTGTAAAACTAAAAAAAAAAAAAAAAGGCTATCATATTTAAAAGTTTTCCACCCATTTTTCAAAAACTGTGCAACAGGTTATCATTCACAAATTATTTCTTACTTCCTATATGTAATACAATTAAAAGCTGTCTCTTTTTCCTGTTGTTTTTAATCGAACCTTCCAGGAAAGCCTGTCGTGAACTCTGTATATTTTTTTCTTGCGAAACTTTATGGCCTTCATTTACTCACATATCATCGAGGTAGTACATTTCCTTTATTTCATTTATGTACCCGTATCCCTTCATATCTAATTATCTACGCCATTATTCCCTATTTTTTGCCAGTTCGCATTTCTCGCGGACAGAGTTTAATGTTGTTTGTCTGATTGTATATTGATAAGGAGTTATTTTTGAGAAACAAAATTTTCTTTTGAAATAGGCCAATAGAAACCAGTCTTAAAATCAATATTGACAGTCGTTTTGGTTTTAATAACTATTATTTTATAAAAAATTTACTAAAAGACGATCTTATGTTTACAGTAAATTTCATTAATGAAACATTTTTCCTTGTTTTGAAAAATGTTTGTGGTATAATGACATCTTTTCAACATTCCTCATCTAGCAAAAAAAAAACGTCATATCCAAAGACCAAAACGTACTATGAATTGTATTAGAAAAAACATTGTAAATTTATTTTAAAATGTTCATGTCTGTTTTAATACCAATTTAGAATGTGACCTGACTATGAAAAAGTGATATAGATGAATTTACTATTCTTTTTAATATCGTTGTTTTGAATTTTTAGCTATACCTAAAATTGTACATTTGTAGAGCGGTCAGTATTGGCTGAAAAATTGGCATAATTTTGTATATTTATTCATTCCAAAGAAATTAAATTAATCCTAGTCATTTAAGTATCTGTATATTTAGACAATTGCTCTACCCAATGTAGTAAGACAGTAGGTACCTAAATAACATTAAAGTTAAAACAGAACCCATTTCTGCCTAAATAGTACAATATAGCAGGTGTATAATTTATCAAATATTTTTGTTAATTAATCTTAAAAGGAATTAATTTTTGCTATATTTATATACAAGGCATAATGTTTATTATTTACACAGTGTTCTCCAGAAGTCATTTAAAAAGTTTATTTTTCGTTAATTTTTTCATGATAATTATTATTATAGAAGGCTTGCTATTTTAATTGGTGTTATCTCCTAAACGGTGATGAAAGTATCCATAATTTCATAATTACATTTAATCAGCTGCTATCTAAGTAGTATACTTAATCGAGACCACGATGCAACTATAGGGTGTATCAACTTTAAAAAAAAAACTTTTTCTCATTCATTACAATCACATTTTTCTCAGTTTCCTTGGCTCTCATCTCCTCTTTATTCTATCTCAATGGTTTACACTGCTTTTGATTGTTTTATCAATATTTATTAAGCAACTTAACAAAGTACGTAACAGTTGTTGTTGAAAAGTAGACAGTTGTAGTTTTCACTTGGTATAATCTAAAATTAACTGATTTTCACGATTGTACTTCTGACAGGAAAAAATACATTAGCGAACCTAGCGGATTTTTACTGGAAACCCTAATCAATTTTAGCCACGTTTTATTTTGTTCTTAAATGGGCGTTGGTTTATCTTATTATCTACCATGATCATGACTGAAAGTAATACAGTATATTCGCTCTCTACTCGAGTAAAATATGCGCATTTTATTTGGACTGATAGACGTGTCAGGATGAAATCAAGAGACCAATGAGAGGTCTATTAACAACGCTTCTGAGGTTATTTTTGGGCTTGAATTGACAAGTTGTTGAAGAAACATCTTATATTTTTTAGAATAGTGTTTATTATGGCGTTTATTAGTGTATTTTAAAAGTTTTGTGATATAAATATGTTGTGACAAACTGTTTAAACCAATATGTAAAAATAATAACTGATATAAGCTTTTCATTTTCCCCCCGAGACGCAAAGTTATATGTAATCTTTTCAAATTTAAAAGTCTTTAATTTACAAAAGCAAACTATATAGTGAATACAAATTTTTTTAATTTTTCTTTTTTTAAGACTATCCAATGAAACGCAGCCAGACAAATTAAACTTTTAAGTCACATCATTTCAAAGTATTTTATGGTATACAGGGTGTTTCAAAAAAAAAGATGTCCCCGTTGCTAGGTTAGGTAGAGTACTGAAAAATTAGTGGGGTTAGGTTACTAAAAAATATTTCGTAACGATATCCGTATTCGAGATATAAGTTGTCAAAATTTCAAATTTCAAGACAAATTTTTACCCTAACTCCATTTATTTTTCAGTATTATACCTAACCTGCCATTTGTATTTTTAGAGAGTGAATCTACTGTATGATTGATATGCAGTTCTTTTGGCTTAATTAAAAAATTAATACTATAGCAAAAATAACAGACTTTCTAATCTTTTGCTGCTATATTATATTGAATTTTTTGACATACTTTTCTTAATCATAACTCCCAACATTATTGCATC